GGATCAGCCCGTGCTCCCAGGCCACTGTCTAGCTCTCCCTGATGAACCTTGGACTGATTTTCAGCACCCCTTGATGGAAAAATACTGCTGCCCAGCGCAGCTGAGCTGTCCGGAACAGCAGAAGCAGCAGCTAGGCTGCTGCCCAGCGCACCTGGGCTGTCCAGGACAGCNATAGGCAGTCTATCTCTAGTTTAGCGGCTCTCTCACGGGTCGCCAAAAAAAAAAACTTGGCCTCTGCACTGCTCTCAAACAAGCAGTCTATCCCCACCTTAGCGGCTCTCTCACGGGTCGCCAAAAAAATTTGGCCTCTGCACTGTTCTCAAACAGGCAGTCTATCGCCAGTTTAACGGCTCTATCACGGATCGCCAAAAGCTAGGTCTCAAAAAGTGTAGCTCTCTCACGAGCAGTTCTNAATTTAAAAAAAAAAAATGTAGTCAATGCCTCCTTCTCCAAGTCTCCTTGGACATGGGGCANACCTTAGCGGCTCTCTCACGGGTCGCCAAAAAAATTTGGCCTCTGCATTGTTCTCAAACAGGCAGTCTATCGCCAGTTTAACGGCTCTCTCACGGATCGCCAAAAGCAAGGTCTCAAAAAGTGTAGCTCTCTCACGAGCAGTTCTCCAACTCTGTCTTCNAAAAAAAAAAAAAAAAAGGCCCCAAGCGCGCGCGCCCTGCCCAGCTGCGCACCTGCGCTGCCCAGCCGTCTCCCTACGCTGCCCAAGCCACTTCTCGCGCTGCCCATCTCCCCTTCGCTGTCCAGTCCTTCATTTGCAGCCTCAAAGCTGTCCAAGACAGCATTCGAATGCTCAAAACTAACCTCCAAGTTCTCCAAAATGGTGCCTACTTCCTCCCTTTCTTCAACATCCACCACTCCCTCTTCAAAATAAAGTGGGAAAGACTTGAAATTTAAAAAAAAAAAAAAAGAGAGAAAAAAAAAATTGTAATCAATGCCTCCTTCTCCAAGCCTCCTTGGACATGGGGCATTGGGGGGCAAATGATGGGTTAAGCCCNGTCTCAGGCTCACCCAAGGCGCCCAGCACCTGGAGAAGGGCTTGATCATCAGGAGCAGCACCCAAAGNGCTCTCCCGAGGCAGTATCAGGCTCACCCAAGGCGCCCAGCACCTGGAGAAGGGCTTGATCATCAGGAGCAGCACCCAAAGCTTCCTTACTACTTGCAATGTCTAGCGCAATGCCTAGAAGTGTGCCTGACTGTTGTTGCTCGTCAAAACAAAGTTGCCCAGTAGCTTGAAGGGTGTCTGGCCCTTCAAAATTGCGCAAAACAGA